GATGGTTATAACATATATGCAAACCTGTCCTAATTACTTTAAGCCATCACTGCTGGTTTTCGTGCATAGGCGAACACATACAGGCACATACGCATTCAGCGACAGACACATTCACATGTTCCAAGGTTAAGATATGCCTGGAACTAACCAAATAACTTTAAACCTTATCAAAGAGGCCAGATATAGAGTATATATGTATAGTTTTTTAAGGATTTGCCGGTGAGTTGTCTTTACTCGCTAGCTTGAATTTAGTTGTGACGATGATACCTTCGATGCTCTGATGAAGTTCGTTATGTGACGGATGAAAGCTTAGCACCTTTTCACTGGAATCGAAGGAGACTACTTCGGAAACAGCTTCAACATGAATGTTCCAGTAAAGCCAATCGACAGCTGGTCAAGAGGAATCCACCGTTGTTTTCTGGTGGAATCGAACTTCGAATCTCTTTACCAAACACTTTCACTCGAAATGGAAGTATGCTCAACAATTATGAAACAAGAGAGTTCTCGAAACCCAACTTTTCTCGGTTTTCGGCTGTCTGCCATCAGCACGCACTGGCCGGATTTAATTATGTGCAATATAGCCCCTTTGCCACCATCTAAATTGAATAGTAGGCCTGCTTAGTAGGTAATTCCACACATATCTATTGCTATGTTAATACATGTTCAGAAAATTCGTTGATGGGCCAACTTGCTCAAGTATTGATTTAGTATTAGCACTATTGCAAACTACACTCAACAATACAGCGAAAAGGAAAATTCTCACAAGAACCGTCAGCATCTAAGGAGTACCAGATCCGTATTGGATAACAATTTTCCTGAATATCCACACGAGCACGATACCGGCTTTGAGGTTGCACAGGCCGACAACTGCATCAATTACGGGTTTGTGGAGGCTGTTCTAACAAGCTGCATAGGATCTTAGAGAATCAGGCCTCAGCGGTTTGGCAACCCTGCACTCTATTTAACTCATATAAGAATATCGAAGCAGTTCGTGAGTTTGACTAGCACTTTTCGAAGTAGGCCTCAGAATCCACACTCGGTTTGCCACAAAAGGGCACACATTTTGATGATTGCAATGTACACAAGTGAGAAGTTGTGATAGGGCGGCAGTGGGATAAGAGGGCAAAGAGTAGATAGATAGAAAATGACATAAAGAGGAGTAATAGTGTAATCGTTTCCAACAGAACGGTTGTCGAGGGATTGACTTCACTCGTCTCTTTGACGAGTTCGTAGCTCGGTGCGGAGAATGGCAAAGCTCACTGATGATGCCGACTACGATGCCGGCAAAACGTTTGAGAATGTACCAAGTCCACTCTCGGATGCTGGGAATCATAACAACTATGCAGACGACTTCGGACTAGGTGCGTTCTACATAGTCGCCCTGGCAACAAGACCAAGTTGCGACAACGAGGAGACTTCGGACTAGGTGCGTTCTACTAAGTCGCCCTGACAACAAGACCAAGTTGCGACAACAAGGTCAACCGAATTCTATAAATCGAAAGGAGACTGCGACCATACCAGAGGCCACAACATCTTGGTCTTCATATCTTCAGAATCAAAGTTATGAGAGGTGATAACTCCGGTCAGTCATTTGGTATCACGTCTGTAAGTTAGTGCAAACAGCTCTCTTGCTTTCCTTTTATGCAGTTCTGCAAAGATTCAGCCTCATTCTCAGCATCGGGCACTTTTATATCAGACTTATCAATCTATCTCTACAAGAAGGCTCACAGTGAATGATCCCATCTGGCCACGATCACACAGCCTTATAGGCCTCACGAGACCTCGTGAGTGTTTCTGATCGCATATCATCCCCTAGAGACTGCGCTGTCCCGCCTAACTGTGTGTGCATGTGTCCGTAAGCTGTCCTGAAGTGCTCTAAACGAATGTGCGCAAGACATTTAAACCGGTCTTAACTAAGCCAAGCCCTCAGGTCCATTATATCGTGAATCCGCGGACAGGACACAGCAACCTCACAAATTGCGCATAGTCACGAATGCGTGTACCGGTCGTCGCTATGTATTTGCATAATTGAGAAACGCGGCTTTGCCCCCTTGGACCAGGCCAGACAAACCCCGCTTTTTCAAACTAAGACAGACTCCTTTTATGCCCACATCCGGGATGTCCGATGTATTGTAGTCGGGTCGCGATGCCTTCTGCCCAGGCCGAGAAGGTCAGATCGGAAGCAGCAACAGCTGCGTCTACACGTCTCCAGAGGGCGCGTCAACCCACGTGCTAGCGAATCTTTGCAGTTCACCGGTGGGACAAGACGGACGGGGACTTGGGGGCAAAGGGTCGGGTAGCAGCTTGTCGCTAGGGGGACTGAATCAGATAAGACATGAAATGCTCTTTCCTGTTTGGTCAGTAGAAGCCAGCGAAATGGTTGTTAACATGCTGCCTGCGAATCGCATGAGATAAACCGGAAGGTTATTATTATATCATTCCATTATTAAAATATTAGTATGGCTAACAATATGCGGATACTTGCATTTAATACTTGCCAGTTATTACGGGTTTCTGATAGATTAAATGGTGACTGACTAATTGTGTGTGCGTGTGTGTCATGGGAGAATTAAAATGTAGGCCTTAATACACCGAAATCAACGGATGAAAGCCGTATTCGTCTGTGCATGTGTGTGTGTATGTGTGTGCTCGTATACTATAAAGTGTTATGATTAGTAAGAGAGCAAATGTATGTGGGCTCTCTCTTGTCATTAAGCGCACTCAAGTGCTCATTCGAATGTCACAATCGGAATGAATAAATAAAAGTTGTTCTGTAATTTTGTGGTGGATTTAGGCAAATCTATTTTGTTTGACACTGCTGAGGTCAGGGCTTACCTACTTAAAAGATGTTAGGTTTTTCGGTGAAGAATTCTCTAGCCTACTGGGTTTTTTGCTATTGACAAAAGACCAGTAGTATCAACAGTATCAATTAAATTTTCGCCCAATGATATAAGTAGATCAAGACATGGCTTCTGATCGTCAAAATATTAGCGTAAGCTTATTTTCATTTTATAAGTAGATTTTCCTGATGTATTCATCCAATTTCGTTTAAAGTAATGAAGGACTGACAGTTGATTTCTCCTACAACCCTATTTATAGGCCTCACGTTGCCATTGAATTTCACATAGCATAGTAAGAATAAATGCTACACTACCAGGGTTCGAGTCCCGTTGGGGGCGGTGATATAACCTATACGAGGTCGAAACTGCAGCACACCCTGGATGAGAATATCAATTTGGAAGCATGGCCATATGAAATTTGTTGGAAGCGTGAGGTTTACTTATGTAATTGTGAGAAAATTTAGCTGCTAGTCCTTCATCACCTCAAAAATACTAGGGGGAATAATTCTTTAAAATATACTAATAAAGCTAAAATAAGTTTAAACTAATATTTTGAAGATCTAAAGAGAAGAAAACTTGACCTTGCCTTAAAATCCGAGTACGCCATTCTCTAACATTCCATAACTATATTTCTACCCAAAGTGAAGTTCATTTACGGCCATGCCTATGCCTTAATAATTCTTCTGAGAGCTTTTAAACCCTCGAGACACACATCATACTCGTCAATAGCACAGGACGATCCGTCCTCACCTAACATGTATGCTATGTATAAACATAACGCCATGGAACCACTTCAGCAACTAAAGGATACATAAATCGAAGACCTTGCTCCTACAAAATTCTATAGCGAATGCCTAAAACTTCTTTACTACATTTACTATATTCCATATAAACATATCACCGACCTTCTCAATCACCATATTTAAACTATCTGTAGAAACCCTACCCCAAGGAATTTTGAGTTTACTGCTTATAGGCACATCAAGGTGAGAAACATAATTAGGCACAAGCTAATTAATTGCGGCAAATACCAAAGAAGCATACAGTTTTATTTTCAATACAAATTATAATATACTTAATTCCAACCATTTTGCCAAACAATATGAAAGAATAAACTCCATAGACACTTACTTTAACGGAAAAATGTTGAGTTATTAATTCATAATAACAACGAAATTGATCTAATTCCCTAAAATACAAGCACAGTTATATGCCAATTACCGCTTCCTAAACACCCTTACCACCCGCTATTTTAAGTAGATTTGAAATAAAATGATACCAACCTTCTCAAACACGAACATATAGTACAATACAATATAGTAAGCATATGAAATAATATATTGCTCCAAAGCTCGAATATATTATGCTACAATAAAAATGTCAAAATTACTAGGCGAGAACGTTTGAAGGCAGAGAAAACCTTGGCTGATCAATTGTTTAGGAGCTGGTATGTGATTTTTATACATGATGACTTTGGTGTAACTCACATTAAGCGGCTGATGGGACCTCTATGTAATTTCACTCAACTAATAATGAGGGTTAATAATAAACACAAGCCTTTCTGCTGATCATCGTGGTTATATAAACCATCAGGGCATAAAAACACAGCTAATGGATGATAATGCAAAATCTAAAAGCTCCAGAGAACCGAGTTCAATTATTAAGGCCTAAGCTTGCTACTTAATTAGAAATCCCGAAAATTTCGTCAGCTGAGCTAATATTGTTACGCATTCAGAGGAAACTGCAAACGATTTATAGAAAAGGTTAGAATTATCGCTAAAAATACAAGGAGATCTCAACTAAGTCACTAAAGTATTGAGCCGTTAATAGGTCATAGTCTTGAAAGAAGAACTAAAGTCACGTAAAGACAGAGATTTCTGGAATTCTGCTTGCCGTATTGTTAATTTAATTTGGAGCCACAATCAGATTATAGTTAACTTGAAGCATCCTCATATATGAAAATAATCTCTTATTTAATCATTTCACGTCATTAGCGCCTACATTTCATATGAATCGCTGCGTTGACGAGACTCTTAAATTAGCTTTACTGGCAATCGAAGCGAGATCCCGAAGAGAAACTGGGTTTCGAATAATCGCTTAATATTATCATGTTGTGGAAACTTAATTTCGTTGGAAGAGGCGGATTGAAGGGATTTGTAAAGTGGTTCTACTAAAAACCTAACGAGGTTTGTCCTTGAGTCATACTGACAGACTCGTAAGAAAGCCTCGCCGCTTCATCTTGTGACGCTTAGCTATCGTCTGTCATGTACTACACATCAGTATGGTCAAAAACCATCATTTAAGAAAAAAATCACAGTTTCATTAAATCAAGAAAGGTGGCTGTCTACAAGCATACTTATTTCTTGTATCAACTTTCGCGATTCTAATTAGGTATCCTCTAATTTGGTTGTCAACTTCATACTTAACCTACACGCTTGCAGATAAGTGAAGTAGACGCGGATGCGGCACAACGGCAAGTTCCTGACATTAATAAACTAGATTTTGAGCCTGCTATAATTAAGGTATGAAGACCAAGATTGTGTGGCCTTTTGTGTGTTTGAAGTCTCCTTCCGTTGTATAGAAGTTGTTTGACCTTGTTTTT